TTGAGTGATTTCTGTGTTTAAGCCTTTTTTTTTTCTTTCTGGTACTGGGGATCAGACTCAGGACCTTGCACTTGTGAGACAGGTGTGGCACCACTGAGCTAAATCCCTGGCCCCTGTTAGGGCTTTTGCCTCATTATTTTCCCAGTCACCAGGCAAGACAGGAGTGAGTGCCCTAATTTCATGGCTGAGGAAGCTGAGGACTAGTTGGTTGCCAGGGTTCACAATTTGCTCAAACCCACACAACTGTTGGCCTTGTCTGGGAGTGGGCCTGGGGGAGGGCAGGAAAGCATCATCTTTTTTTTTTAATAGCAAAGCTTTTTGGTGAATTTTAGGCATCATGATTACTCACATCATAGGGAATTTGCACCTGTGCATGGTACATCCCGCCTCTTGTTCCCATGGCCCCCCTCAAGCCCCCTCCCTTCCCTGTGTACAAAAGCTGTTTCTATTTTTTCCTTTATTTTCACTTTTTTTCTTGTCCCTTCCTTTCTCCCCTCTCCTCCCTTCTTCCTCTTTGAGCATTATCTTCCCATTTCCCAATATCCATTATGCATCTCAGTCCTTGTTTCCACTTTCAGTTTCTCACACCAGAGAAACAATGTGGTATTTACACGTGTGTCCCATTTATTTCACTTAAGAGCATGGTCTCAAGGTCCATCCATTTAGCCATAAATGTCTGAAGCTCATCCTTCTTTATGGCACAGTAGTACTCCACTGTATAAAGTCTTGTCAGTTGATGGACAAGCTCAGGGACTGATGGTGTCACATCTCTGAGGAACTCTAGATCCTGAGGTCAGGGCTACTTCTTAATTCTGCTGCAGCATCAGCAACTTGAAATGGTTTGTTTTGGGGGCTGGCACCTGGTAGTAGCTAAAGAAACCAGAACGATAAGACATCTGGAGAAACAGCACACAAATTAGCCTCAAAAACCCACATTTTGTATGTTTAGGGGAAGAGATAGTGCGCTATCTTGTGTAGGAGCAAGTGGCAGTTCTACCTGGAGGCTGAGCTCTGCTCTGCCTCCCACCCTAGGAATCCTATGAGAGAGCTGAGTGGAAGTGTGTCTTACAGTGTTTGCTCTATTAGGGTTTAGGGGTGAAGGTTCTGCCCCGTAACTGAGTGGTTGGGAAGCTCAGGACATGCTGGCCTCCACTCCTATATCCTGGCCATTTCAGGGAAGCCCCAGCTCTCTCCTGACTAGGCCCAGGACCAATACTCCGCTCTTGGAATGCAAGGTATGGGGTCAACAGAAAGAAAAACAGCACTTTTCTTCGACTGGAGTGACTGGCCACTGCCCTCTGCTTAGCAGGAGTGGATCATGCTATCAGCGGAGCTGAACAGGGCCGGGGCAAGACAGAGGCCAAGAGTGTGGCGCTCTAGCAGCCAGCACGCTTCAAACACTGTTGAGCGGAGCACCATGCAGGAAGTCACCTAGCTTTCAACTCTGGCCCCAGACTCCCCTCTCAGCAAGACAGAGCCTGCAGTTGGCAGGACCCACTGGTTTTGGAAAGCAAGTCTATAAAAGCTGAGGGAATTTCCTTAAGGACGCTCGACACGTCTCACAGGCCACTGTACCTTGGTCTTCAGGTTTTATCATAAATGCACTGCCTGGCTCATAGCTCTTATACTTACATTGTTATGCATATCGACAGCAATAGTTTCCTCAGTGTGATATATTTCAAGACTTCAATTAAAGTCTTGTTAAATTGTTTCTCAAATTTGTTTAAATGTTTCATCTTGTTTCATATATATGCCTATGGATTTCACGAAACATCGGGTTTCATTGTGGCACGTTCGTACACACGTAAGACACATTTAGATCATACCCATGCCCATCACTTTCCTTCACACCCACCTCCCTCCCCACCCTTTCCTCTTGGCCCACAGTCCATCTTCTATGCTCATGTCATCTTCCCCCAGATTCCACATATTAGAGAAAACATGTAACACTTGCTTGAGTTTTGCTTATTTTCCTTAACATGATCTCCAGGTCCACCCATTTGACTGAAAATGGATTTTTTAAAGTTGAAAAAAAAATATTTTTTTGGTACCAGGGATCAAACTCAGGACCTTGCACTTGCAAAGCAGGTGGCGGAACCACTGAGCTAAATCTCCAGCAAAAAAAAAAATTTACTTGAGACAGGGTCTCACTATGTAGCCTCAGGCTGTCCTTGAACTCATGATCCTCCTGCCTCAGCCTCCCAAGTGTCAGGGTTACAGGCTTGCACCACCACATCCATCTGATTTGATGCTTCTTTATGACTAAATAATACTCCATTATGTATATACACACACACATTTTCTTTATCCATTCATCCACTGAAAGGCAACTAGGCTGATTCTGTATTCTGGCTATTGTGAACTGTGACAATAAACATGGGTTCGCAGGTACCTCTATAGTGTGCAGACTTTAATTCCTTTAGATCTGTACCAAGGAGTAGTATAGATGGAACATATGGTAGTTCTGCTTTTAGGTGATTTTTTTTTTTTTTTGGTACCAGGGCTCGAACTTGGGATCTTGTGCTTACGAGGCAGGCGGCAGAACCACTGAGCTAAATCCCCAGCCAGCATCACTTATTGTTTACATTCTTACTGATAGCCATTCAGACTGGTATGAGATGAAATTTCAATGTAGTTTTGACTTGCATTTCCCAAGTGGGTAAAAATGTTGAACATCTTCTCATGTAATTATTGTCCATGTTTACTTCTTTTGAGAAATCTTTGCTAGTTCATTTGCTCATTTTTCATTGCATTGATTGTTCTTGTGGAGTTAAGTTTTTGAGTGCTTTGTACATTCTGGATATTATTCTCCTGTTGGAAGGGTAGCTGGGCGAGCTTCTTTCCTATTTTACAGGCTATCTCATCACTCTTTATTTCCTTTGCTGTTTTTCCAGTGTCTTTTCAATTCCCATCTTTAGTGCTCTGTAATGCTGTACTCTTCCAGTCCTCTGTACATTTTCATTGTACAGGTATTTCACTTCCTTGGGTGTTTATTAGATATTATTATTTGTGTGTGTGTGGTACTGGGGATCAAACTCAGGTCATTGCGCTTGTGAAGCAAGTGGCGGAACCACTGAGCTAAGTCCCTGGCACAATTAGATATTATTTTTGAAGCTACTATTAATGAATTGTTTCTCTGATTTGTCGGTGACTCCATTATTAGTGTACAGAAAAACCAATGATTTTTTTTTTTTTTTTTTGGTACCGGGGATTGAACCTGGGACCTTGCACTTGCGAGGCAGGTGGCAGAACCACTGAGCTAAATCCCCAGCTTTACTTTTTTAAACTAATGGTTTTTAAAAAAAACTCTAGCTGCTGTGCTGAATTTGTTCATCACATCTAAATATTGCTTGGTAAAGTCTTTAGGGTTTTCTAACTAGTGGATCACCTGCAAATAAAGATTTCACACCTTTCCTATTTGTATCTCCCTTGTATTTCTTTCCATTGTTTAATTGCCCTGGCTAAAATTTCAAGTAACTATTGGATGTGGACATCCTTGTCTTGTTCTTGATTGTAGGGGAAATGCTTTCAGTTCTTCCCAGTCTGAAATTGGATATGGGTTTGTCAACTATAGCCTTTATTATGTTAAGGTATTATCCTTCTATACTAGTTTCTTCAGGGGTTTTATCATGAAGGATGTGGAATTCTGCTGAAGCTTTTTTTTTTTGCATCTATTGAGATGATCATGTGATTTTTATCCTTGATTCTATTTATGTGGCTTATTATGTTTATTGACTTGTATATGTTGAACTATCCTTGCAGCCTTAGAAAAACTATTTTTTTCTGAGTTTGTTTTTGTGGTGGGGCGGAGGGGTGGGCGGTGTGGAACACAGGGCCTACCTTATGAACGCTAGGCAAGCCCTCTTCCGCTGAGGTTTGTTCCCAGCCTTTATTTCTTATAATAGTTCTAATAATCTTTTTAAAAATAAATTTTAATTTTATCCTATTACCCCCCTCAAGCTCCCGCCCCTATGTACAAAAGCTTTGTTCCCATTTTTTCCTTTATTTTCACTTTTTGTCTCTTTCTTCATTTCTCCCTCACTCCTCCCTTGTTCCCCTTCTCATTTGAACATCTTCTTCCCATTTCTCAATATCTATTGTACATCTCAGTCCTTATTTCCACTTTCAGTTTCTCACACCAGAGAAACAATGTGGTATTTAAACACGTGTGTCCCATTTATTTCACTTAAGAGCATGGTCTCAAGGTCCATCCATTTAGCCATAAATGTCTGAAGCTCATCCTTCTGTATGGCAGAGTAGTACTCCATTGTATTAAAAAAAAACTTCTTTATCCACGTCAGTAAATGGGCATTTGGGCTGTTTCCAAGATTTAACTGTTTACAAACTGTGCTGCTATAAGCATGAATATGCACATATCACTGTACTTTTCCTTTGGGAAGAGACCAATTAGGGGAATAGCTGGGTCAAATGGAACCTCTAGTTTTAGTTTTTTGAGAAATCTCCAGATTTCTCCAGTGGTTGCACCAGTCTACACTCCTACCAACAGTGGAGCAGGTTCCTTTTTCCCCACAGCCTCTTCAGTATTTGTTTTTGATTTCTTGATAGCAGCCATTCTTTCTGGAGATGGAATCTCAGCAGTTTTAATTTGCATTTCACAAATGACTAGTGATGTTGAACATTTTTTAATATATTTATTTGCTGTTTCTAATTCTTCACCTGAGTAGTGTCTATTCATTTCAGATGCAAATCCTGAGTTTGATCCCCAGTACCAAAAAAAAAAACCTAACCAAAAACCACATATATTCAGGGCAGGGATTTAGCTCAGTGTTTCCACTGCCTGCTTTGCAAGCGCAAGGTCCTGAGTTCGGTCCCCGGTACCAAAAAAAAAAAAAGCCTTTCAGATGCCCATTTTTGGTTGGGTCTTTAAATTTTGGGGTCTGATTTTTTTTGAGTTCTTTCTATATTCTAGATAGTAGTCCTCTGTCTAATGAATAGGTGGCAAAAATGTTTTTCCCACACTGTGGATTGTCTTTTCACTCTGATGGTGGTTTCTCTTGCTGTGCAAAAGTTTTTTTTTTTTTTGGTACCAGGGATCAAACTTGGGACCTTGTGCTTGCGAGGCAGGCAGTGGAACCATTGAGGTAAATCCCCGGCTGCAAAAGCTTTTTAATAGATATAGCAATAATACAGATAAGGAAAAACCCACCTTGGCTTACGTAAGTGTGTATACATTAAAGACGGTCGGCACTGCTGAATGGTTTCAGGACTAATTTGAGTAATTTAGAAAGAAGCTATTTCAGACTTTCCTAGCCCTTCCAGACGCACTAATTTTGGGTAGTCCTTGTATTTTTAGTTTGAGTAGTTTTTATACTACGTGCTTAAAATGTAAGAAAAATAGATGCTGCTCCAAATTCAAGACAGGATGGTCAGAAATTTCCACTTTCACATGGATCTTAACAAGGCTTCAGTCTTGGCTGAGTTGAACTAGTAAGAAAATGTTAGGATTAAGCAGGTTCTTAAGGAATCATCTATCTAGAAAGGCTCAGGCTTTATAATGGTCCCTTCCCCTCCTTATCGCAATGTGTGGAAAAGTCACGCAGGTGGCCTAGTAAGTGAGAAACTGGCCCATGTCTAGAACACTTGATTATCGGAGGAAAAGTATGTTCAAATCCATTCCAGGTGAGATCAAGTTTAAAATCCAAAAAATGAAAACAGAGAAGAGAATATAGGTGATTCATCTCAAACAAAATAACAAAACAGACTGTAGATTACACAATTTACAAATTAGTAAGAAAGGTTCAGGAGTAAATCAACAAGATAGATGGATTAGCCGGGGATGTAGCTCAGTGGCACTGTGCCTGCCTTGAAAGCGCAAGGTCCTGAGTTCGATCCCCAATACCAAAAAAGAAAAGAAAAGAAAAGAAAAGAAAGAAAAGATGGATTAAATAATACATTAATTAGTATGAAAAACATGAGTGTAGTAATGGAAAGGAACAAAGTTAATCCAAAAAATGTAAAATCAGTTAATGTATAAAAAAACTGTTTAGATAGATCAAAGAAAATGGCAATTAAATTTAACTGTTAAACACCAACCCAAAACATCAAGGTGACTGAAATTCAAAGCTCAGTGCTAAGCCAAGGCTAATGTTATGGATGAGATGAAGTAGGCTCTGAGATGGGAAATGAATAAAATAGAGTAGTTAAAAACCTCTCTAGAAAGCAGCTTGACAATAAACATTAATAGCTTTAAAAATACTCAAATACTTTGATCCAATAATTCTGCCTCAGCAATTTGTTCTAAGGAAACTGTCAGAAATACAGGGGAGCTCAGTGGTTCCACCACCTGCCTCACAAGCACAAGGTCCCTAGTTCGATCCCCGATACCAAAAAATAAAAAAAGAGAGAGAAAGAAATACAGAGGTATGTCCGCAGAATGTATGACCAGATACACTGCACTGCTCAGGGCTGCACCTCGCTGTGTGTAACAGAAGCCTGGCTGAGGCTTACACAAGCAGAGTGTTCCTCCTCCTTAGGTATCCAGAAGTTCCAAGCCCAGCAGTCAATCAAGATCCAAGCTCTCCAGTCTTCCACCGTAACAACCAAAGCAAGTAGCTGTCGTCTTTATGCCAAAAAATGGCTCTGGTACAGCTGGGTTTCATGTCTGCATTCCAAGCAGGGTAAAGAGAGAAGGGCAAAGGCTCAAGGTAATTCAGTCTGTCCATCCGTCCGTACCAAACACCAAGCAGCTTTATTAAGCACTCCTGCATGCATCTCTTAATGCTCTAGAGTGAGTCACATGACCTCTCTTAGCAAAAGCTAGGTGGGATTTTTCAACAAGGTACATTACTGTCTCCCCCACCAGAAGTGGTATTTGGCTAATAAGGAAACTATAATAGGAAGTCTGTTTTATTATGAAATTCATTGTAGCTATTAATGTCAGGTTTTTAAAATTTACAGATCTGGAAAATGCTCACAAAGTAATACCAAATGAGAAGCAAGACAGAGAACATACATAATACAATCTTGGTTTAGTTTAAAAAAATAAAATTTACATATATACACCCACACATGGGAAAAAAATGTTAATTTTTTGTTAATTGGAGCCAGGTGTGCTGATGTCTGCCTGTAATCCCAGGACTCTGGGAGACTGAGGCAGGAGGACTGATTAGAAGTTTGAGCCCAGCCTGGGCAACATAGTGCTATAGTGAGACCTTGTCTCAAAATTTGAAAACTTAAAAGAGCTGGGGATGTAGCCTAGTCTAAAGGCCCTGGGTTCAATCCCCAGTACCACAAAACACAAACTAAAATTAACTGTAGTTAACGTCTACATACTGTAGTTGGTATTTCTAGTCAGACTGGTAATGATGGATAGACAGCTTTCGTTTTATTTTTTGCTACATTTTCTTCTCTTTTTTTTGGAACCAGGGATCGAACTTGGGTCATTGTGCTTGTGAGGCAGGCAGCGGAACCACTGAGCTAAATCCCTGGCCCATTGTGCTACATTTTCTAAATGTTCTATAACGTACTTATATAACTGGAAAAACCGTTATTTTTAAAAACACAGGAAAAGGGCCAGGGATTTAGCTTAGTGGAGCTGGGCCTGCCTGGCAAGCGCAAGGTCTTGAGTTTGATTCCCGGTACTAGGAAAAAAAAAATAGGACAAATATTATTTTTAAAAATACTTCAAAAGGGCTGAGGATTTAGCTCAGTGGTTCCGCTGTCTGCCTCACAAGTGCAAGGTCCCCAGTTTGATCCCCAGTACCAAAAAAAAACCAAAAAACTTTATGTACTTTTGAAGGAGACTAAGTTAAACTGTTCATGCTCACTCGTTTTCATCGTCATTGCCAAAAGAAAGGAGGCTGCTGTTTCTGATTTGCTTTTGTGAGTTCTTTTTAAGTGAATCCTGCTTATTTACTTCATCTTCATTTGTCTTCTTCTTTTTTGAGCTTGCTGTTAAACCTGAGTATTTTTCATCTGAGGGCCGCTTGACTGGTTTCCGATACAGGATTCTTCCATCAGCTGCGGCTGGTTCTTCATCTGAAGCAAAACAAAGTTAAAGAATTTTCTTCTCCCTCATTATTCTGCTATTATCAGAGAGTCCATGGGCAAGGAAACTCACAGTGCGGTTAAGGGCGTCCTTGAGTCCTTTCAGCATGGTCTTCTCTACCTCTTGCTAGGAGCCCCACAGACGTGCACTGACTCAATAAAAACTCACTGAGCTGCTCCACACTTTTTGTCAGTCTGCAGCTCATGACGGTTGGGGCCAAACCTAGGGCCTTGCACACGCTCTACAACTGGGGGGTCCCCCAGTCCATCAGGTTGTTTTGTTGGTTTGCAGCATTGGGGAATGAATCCAGGGCCTTTGCACTGAGCTATGCCCCCAGACCTTCTGCCTTTAAAAAGTTTTTTGAGGGGGACAGAGGCTCACTAAATTGCCCTGGCTCGGGTCAAACCTGTAATCCAGCTTCAGCCTCTCCCAGTGCTGGGATTATAGGCATGCACCATCATGTCTGGCTTTAAAGGTTTTGAAAAGTAAAATGGTACTTTCTTCTAATACAATGTAATAAAATATTTAGGAATAATACTATATACTACACATTATGCTATACACTAAACTTCAGATACTAATTACATATACTTTTATTGACTGGTTGTAAACCTACCACCTACTAAAGGATGCTTTTACTTAAATTTGCACTTAATCCTCAACCCAAAAAGGTAGGAACTTAATTAAGCCTTGGAGGTGAAATAATTTGCTCAAGGTTACATACTGAGGCTGGTAAGTGTCAAAGCCATTGCTTGAACCAGGGACTCTCTCCTTTGAACAAATCATACTATTACATAAACTAAAGCAATTTCCTACTCCAGGGTCTTTACATTATTAAAAAACCCAGATTACTCTCAGACCTACCTGTTTTGGCAGCCTTTACTTCCGCTTTAATTTTCATGACTTCTTCAGCTGTCAGGTCTCCCTTTTTTAAAACCACCACTTGGGGCTGTTCATCTTCTTTGTCACTGTGATCACCCTCTCCATCTGGGAGCTGAGGCTGGATTCTCTAGGGGAAAATACAAATACAACATGTAGGTTGCTGGCCTTGACTCAAATAGAGCCACTGCACCCCCGGACGCAGCTGTAATTATTAAAGTGAGGAGGTTAACTATCAACTCAATGTGGCAGGAAATAAATTTTCAAGTAACTCCAAAGAGCCTAACCTCGCCATATCAGGGAACATGGCAGTCACCCTGGGGTGCCTGTACAGTGGGATCCACTTCCAGCTTGCCAGGACCCCGGCTGGCAGCTACATGTGAGGGCCTCTGCTGTGGGTAATGCTGTCATTCCCAGCCTACTCAAGGCAGCACTGGGCTGTATCACTTCTCTTTGCTTCTCGTCAACACTTCTCCCCTCCTCATTAGAGTTACACCAAAAGTACTCAAACACCATCAAAGTATAGAAAGCAGTAAGTAAAAGATTTTCTTTCCCCTACAGTATCCCTTTAACAGCTTCAGTTTAGTGAATATCCTATCAGCTGTTTTCCAAGTATATACAAATAATTAAGTATACAAAACATGTTATATACAAACAATACTATATTCTGTGACTTTTCTATTTTTTACGTTTAAATTTCTCAAACATAAAGAACAGAGAATAACGTAACAGAAACCATGGACTCCTACTATACAGGTAATAAATGGCAACATTTTGCCAGTTGATTCAGATTTTTTTAACTGGCAGACATCAGAAAAGCCCCACTCCAACTTTTTACTTAAAAAATATTTTTGCACAATACTTTGAGTACATATAGGATTATCTGAGCTTATAACTCACTGCCTTGAATTTAATTATGTACACAGTATAGTCATCTCATGATTTTTTATGCCCTATAAATAAAAAAAATTAGTTGTTTCAAGTTTTTTCCTATGATGAGAAAAACCTTATATACATTTTTGCCCACTTTTGGAAACTTATGATAAATTCCTGGAAGTGGAACTGCTGGGGTGAAAGACATGCACACCAAAACGTGTCTGCACACATTCTTCTTTTTATATTTTAAGTATTTTTTGTCTTGTTTTGTATTTTGGTCTTTTTTTTTTTTTTTTTTGGTACCAGGAATCAAACTCAGGGCCTTGTGGTTGCCAGGCAGGCACTGCGCCACTGAGGTACATCCCCAGCCCTGTTTTTGTTGGTTTTTTTTTTGGTACTGGGGATCGAACTTAGGACCTTGCACTTGCAAAGCAGGCCACGGAACCACTGAGCTACACCCCCAGCCCCACCTGGTTTTTGTTTTTTGAGACTGGGTCTATGTAGTTCAGGCTGGCCTCCAACTCGTGGTGATCCTCCTGCCTCGACTTCCTGAGAACTGGGGTTACAGCCGTGAGCCACCACACCCTGATCGCACACATTCGAGCGCTCCTTATTCTACTTCTCACGGAGCCTTGTCTCCCCAGCAGAGAACAGAGCCTTGCATGACTTGGCCTCAGCCTCTAACCGCTGCTTTGTCCTGTACCACTCTAACAACCTCTAGGCTCCAAGCAGGTTTTAGTATTTGGAGATCCATGAATGTACCCCCTTTTCCTCCCGTCTTAATGCAATCACTGGACACAGAGTCCTAAATAAATTTACGTCTCCATACGTTCTCTACACATAATGGTCTGTTACCACTGAAAGTGGTAGAGCAGCTTTTGCTGTGAACTAGTTAAGGTGGAAACCTCGGCAGGCTCAGCACTTGATTCTCTCTGAAATCCTGTTCCCACATAGTCAGGTGAGGCTCTCTCCTGAAGCTCTTCTATTCCGACCTGGCGTTATAAGGCTTTAGCTTATGTCTTTTAAAAAATTATTTTAAGCTGGGGATTTAGCTCAGTGGTTCCGCCGTTTGTCTCGCAAGGGCAAGGTCCCGAGTTCGATCCCCGGTACCAAAAAATAAATAAATAATTACTTTATGTAACAAAGCATAAAAATAGATCCAATCCATGACGTTCCTCCAAAGATGATCCAGCCTCGTGTCTCGAGCCATGGTGTCATCTGATCCAGTGGCCTCAGTTTCCTTATCTGGAAAATGGACTAGCTATCACGTACCCTGCTTACAGGGTCTGAGATAAGCGAGAAAGAAGAGACAGGAAAGCGATCTTTCCTATCTCCAAGAACCAGGCGCTTTTCCCACGTCAGGTCATTTTGAAGAACGAAGCAGCGCTAGGAAAAGGAGAGAGCTCCCTAGGTGCAGGAGGCTGTCACAGTCTGGGCAGGACGGGGCCAGAGTGTGACTGCCGCCAGAACCGGGACAGAAGGAGGGACAGGTTAGTACCTAGCCTCCAAGTACTAGCCTCCGGCGGAAGGCGGAAGTGGCAGGAGGGCAGCGTTTCTGAATTAGCGCGGCCAGCCCGGGCTCACCTTGGTCTCCACGGTGGGCCCTTCCCGGTAGCCGACCCGCTCCTTGAAGCGGGACAGGAACGCGGGCTCGGCGGGCCGTACGTAAGACACCCGGTTCCGCTGGCTCATGGCAGCTCCGGGGAGCTCCGGGCAAAAACAAGTTTCCTGGAACCAGTCGCAGAGCGCAAAAGCGAAGACGCACACACAAGACGTCACGTGGCCACGGCCCTCGACGCGGAGGCGGGACCAGGGGCGGGGCCGTGTTGCGTCAACGCTGCGCCAAATTCAAATTCGCCGCCATCTTGAGCGGGCGGGATTTCGGCGCGCGGCGCGGCTGCCAAGCTGAGGCGGAGTTGGCGCTGCTGTCGGACCCCGTGCTTCGACCGCTATGGCACCGGGATGCAAAAGTAAGGGGAGCCTGGCCTCACGACCCCTTCACCAGCCCTGCCCGTGGGGTTCCCTGCCGGGGGCGAGTGCGTCCCTCGGTCCCTCGCCCACCGCGTTGGGCCGGAGCCAGGCCCGGGATGTGGAGAGGGGAGGCCCCGTCCTCACTGTCGTGCTCCGCGGCCTCGCGGCCTCGCCCCGGGTCCGCCGCGGCTTCCTCCCTGGCTGACCTCCCCCTTTCCGCCGGTCTACACGTCCCTGCCTTTCTAAAAGAGAAAGATTTAGGTTCAAACGCTCCTTCCTCCTCTGGAGAGCCTCTCCTCAGATAAGGGGATTTGCAAGCAGAGATTGCGGTGTATCTCACAGGGGTCTCCCGACCCCGGGCCCCCGTGAATCCTGAAGCCTCATAGCGCCCTGGTGCTGAATGCAGTGTGTGCTCTGCTTGGTCCTGACGTCCGTACCTCTGCTTATGTGCTTAGTTTATGAATCAGGCACAGTAGTGAAATGGAGCAACGAGAGCAGACATTCTGTAATCATGGGTGCAGGTGATCTCTCTCGAAGCGTCTTACAGTATTGCACTCACCCTCTTGTGCGGTGAGATGATAAAATGTCTCTCTGGTGAGAGGAAGTGAGATGAATGACAGTGTGACAGGCTCCGAGGGTGACTTGAATACAAGCCCGGCGATCTGCTAATTGATCTGATAACAGAGGCTATGACTGCTGGGAGGGCGGCGATTTATAGACAGGGTGGATGCGTCGGGGCTGGAGGAAGCAGGGTCCTGTTAAGATAGGAGAAATACAGGTCGAAAGGAGACATGGTGAATGTTCAAATTAAAAATAAAAATTACTACAGTAAGAGACACATTACTGGAAGGATAGGCTGTGTGTTGTGAGGGGAGAGTTCTGAGAGGGATTAGTGTCAGTGTATCTTTTAGTGTAGTATTTTTTTTAACCTAGCATGCACTGTGTTTTTAGATCACCCTGCACCTCCAGCCCCAGACCACAGGGCACCACTGTCTGGAGGGCCCACTCTGTTCTCGGAGCCTGTGTTTCTTTAACTCTGCCTAATAAACCTTTTTTGTCTCTCGCTGTATCCTGAAATTCTTTCACTGTGATGAGTCAAGAACCTACTTGGCAGGCTGAATTGAAGTCCCCACCTCCTCCTTTTGGGGGAAATATTAGCCCCGTCTGGTGACTGAGATTTCATCCTCCTACTCAGAACAGCATGCAATTTAAAAGCTTTTGAATTTTCTTCTGGGTTTTCCATTTAACATTTTAAAAAATATTTTATGTGTATTGGTACATGTTGGCAGTACATAATGATTACATTTCCATTTAACATTTTTGGACTGCAGTTGACAGCCAGTGAGACACTGGAAAGAGAGTCCCCAGATGTTGGGGGGCGGGGTGTCCATTGCTGTATATTCTCACAATCTATTTTTGCCTCAAGGGCATCCATCCATTTCGTCCTCTTTTTTTAACCCCCAGAGGAGAGCAGCAGGGAGGGTCTCCAATTTTTTGCTGTCATTTTTGCTTTTGACAGAACTGCAGTGCTAGTTATAATGGCTGTGGGGTCACCCTGGGTTACTCTGAGTGTGATAAGGGCTCACGTCAGGATGTGAGGGACACAGTGGTGAGATCGGATTGTATTGCTCCGGTGCATGTCAGGCTGTTAAGGAACTGTGGTGAGAGCAGGGCACTCTTGCTCTCCAGGAGCCAGCAGGGATCCTATGTGGTGTGAGCCTAAGGCCAGGATGTCTCCTGTGCTGTCTGTCTCCTGCCTCAATTGGACTAATAGAGTTGGCTTTACATCTGCCACATCTTGTTTTTTTTAAATACATTTTATTTTAATTTTATCCCATTCCCCCCTCAAGCCTCTCCCCTCCCTATGTACAAAAGCTTTTCTATTTTCACTTTTTTTCTTGTCCCTTCCTTCCTTTCTTCCTCCCTCCTCCCTTGTTCCTCTTCCTCTTTGAACATTTTCTTCCCATTTCCCAGTATCTATTATGCATTTTAGTCTTTATTTCCACTTTCAGTTTCTCACACCAGAAAAACAATGCAGTATTTAAACATGTGTGTCCAATTTATTTCACTTAAGAGTATGGTCTCAGGGTACATCCATTTAGCTATAAATGTCTGAAGCTTATCCTTCTTTATGGCAGAGTAGTACTCCATTATATAAGAAACCCATATTTTCTTTATCCACTTGTCAGTTGATGGGCATTTGGGCTGTTTCCAAGATTTAGCTATTACAAACTGTGCTGTAAACATGAGTGTGCATATATCACTGTGTTATGATGCTTTTAACTCTTTTGAGAAGATACCAAGAAGAGGAATAGCTGGGTCAAATGGAGCCTCTAGTTTTAGTTTTTTCCGAAATCTCCACACTGATTTCCACAGTGGCTGCACCAGTCTATACTCCCACCAGCAGTAGAGAAGGGTTCCTTTTTCTGTCATTACTGAGGTGAATCAGCACATGCAGGTGTCGAGGGGAATCAGAAGCTCCATTATGGAGGTGTTGACCTTGAGACGTTTGTTGCCCACGGGGCATCCAGCTGGAGAGATAGATAAGCCTTAGACGGCAGGAGTCTGGGGCGCAGGAGAGCAGTCTGGGGGAAGACTCAGATTTGGGGATCATCATTGCCTACCTTGTGTTTACAACCATGGGATTGAACAGTGGGACTGGGATAAAAGGGGGAAGAGGATCCGGGCCTGGGCTTGGGGTGCCCCACAGTCCTGCAAGGGATCTGGGGAGACCAAGGAGCATTAGAGAAAGTGTGATTTACCTAGTGCGATTGTAACCACCTCTCATGACTTCTCACCTTCTTTTCTAGCTGAGTTACGCAGTGTGACAACTTCTCAGTCTAACCAACCCAGGTAAGAAAGGAATCTTGTCATGACCCCCCAAATTAGCTATACAGTATTTCTAAAAGAACTATTTAGCATAGTAAGGTACCTTGTTTCAAATGTTAGTTTGATCATCAACCAAATGGAAACATGGGGAAATGCCTGTGGAGCAGAGGCTGGCACTTCCTTCGTGGGGAAGGGGAGCTGGGGAGGGAAGCAGCATGGTGCAGGCAGACTGGAAGATAAGCAGGACCACCTCAAGGGCACTATGTCCTGAGGGCTAGCAGAGCCACTGGAGGTGTCAGGGAAGAAAGGGTCCAGGGCAGAGGACCTCTCTATTTCCAGGCTAAAATGTGGAATCAATTGCATAATTCTCCCTTGGAATTACTTATCCTATCATTGCTAGTAAGGAAATGAGAGACAAGCAGTGTTTGTGTCTCCTTGCACTGAACTCCCTTTAGTTTTACTTCTAGTAAAAGGTGGTAAAGGTGCCTATCATAGAGTAAATTAATAAAGGGCACGGGTGGCATGAGACTCTTAAAAGTGGTAAATTTAAGTGGAGTAGGCTTTGTCAGGGAAGTTCATGGTGTACATACTAGAAGCAATCTGAGACTCAGATTCTTTGACGGTTTTCTTTTCTCTGAAAATAGCCTTATTACTTTTTTTTTTTTTTTTTTTTCCTTTAGTAATGAAGGCGATGCCATCAGAGTTTTTGTACGAATCCGACCGCCTGCAGAGGGCTCGAGATCAGCCGATGGAGAGCAAAACCTATGCCTCTCCGTGCTCTCCTCCACAACCCTCCGGCTGCATTCCAACCCTGAGCCCAAGACCTTCACATTTGATTACATAGCTGACATGAACACCACTCAGGTAGAGAGAACTAGAAGCTTCTCCCATGGAATGTAGAAGGCTTTGTTATTTGTAAGGGTTTCATTTTTGTCATTTGTTTGGCAGACTTCAGGTCAGGAAGCTCAAACTCTCCATAAATACCTCAGATCTAATTTTATCATTTTTTTTTCTCTTTTTTCTGTTTATTCCCAGTACAGGACACATAAGCTACATCCCTAGCCTTTTAAAATTTTGAGATGGTCTTGCTAAGATAGTTGCACAGGCTGACCTTGTGCTTGTGAGCCTCCTGCCTCAGCTTTTTGAGTAGCTAGGATTGTAGGCATGTGCCATCATTCCTGGGTCTTGCTTACTAATCAGACTTTGTACTAGCTTTACTTTCCTTTTCTACTCAGTGATGGAAGTTAATGAGATATACTTTTCAGAGCCACTTGAACAGCTAACTACAGCCGACTGCTTAGTTTAATAATTAGAATTACTATGATGTTAGTAACTTTTTTCAGTTTAGATCAATTTAAGATCTAAGCTCTATCCAATAGGACTTTTCTGCAGTGATGAAAGTGTTTTATATCTGAGCTGCCCGTTACAGTACCTCTAGCTCAACATGACTATTTAAGTGAAAATTAAGAACCAGATATGGTGGCATACTTCTATAATCCCAGCACTTGGGAGCCTGAGGCAGGAGGATTGCCTGAGGTTCAAGACTAGCCTGGGCTATGTAATGAGTACAAGGCTAGCCTGGACTACATAGCAAGATGCTGTCTCAAAAAACAAAACAAAACAAAACAAAAAACCCAGCCAGGCATGGTGGCATAGGCCGGGTATGGTCGTGCACACCTGTAATCCCACCACTTGGGAGGCTGAGGCAGAAGGAGCGCCTCAAGTTTGAGGCCTGCCTGGGCTACATAGTGAGCTCAAGGCCAGCCTGAACTACCTAGTGAGATCCTCAAAGACATTAGCCACATGTGGCCATTAAGCACTTGAAATGTGGCTAGTGTATTTGATGAACTAAGTTTTATTTAATTTTAATTAAATTTAAGCTGAGTATGATGGCACACACTTGTAATCCCAGCTGCTCAGGAGGCTGAGGCAGGAATATCACAAGTTCAAGCTAGCCTGGGCAACTTAATGAGATTTGGTCTCAAAATGAA